TTGGGCTCAGAATTAAGCCATTTATTGCTGCTGCCGGCATTGAGCTGGAACATATAGCTCCTTCCCGTCTTCTTTCTTCTCCTCCTTGGCAATTAGCTAGACCAGAAGTTGACTTAACACTTACAATATTTAAAAAATTGGAAACAAATGAATTACAATATAAACAAGAATATACTCAATTAAAAAGTAAATATAATACATATCAATCCTTATTTACAGATGGGTCCGGGGATGGTGGCGCAGTGGCTTGCGCCACTGTCATTGGGTCCAAAACAATATCTTCCAGATTACCCAATGACAGTTCAATTTTCACAGCAGAAGCAAGCGCAATACTTACAGCTCTTAAATATATAAATAGACACCCTAAATATAAACAACATATAATATTTTCTGACTCTCTTTCTTGCCTTCAGGCGATTAAAAATTTCTTGTAAACATCCACTTTTATTAGAAATTATAGAACTATATAATGATCTTGCCACTGGCCAACTCGATATCGTCCTCTGTTGGTTACCCAGCCACGTTGGTATTTCTGGGAATACTTTGGCCGATCTTGCTGCCAAGGCAGCACTCAACAAATCTGTGACACCACTTCTTATTCCATACTCTGATTACAAAGCCAGCATTAGAACTTACATCCGTGATCTGATGCAGAAGAAGTGGGACACTCAAGTAGGTATTAATAAATTAAATGAAATAAAACCCTATATTGGCTACACTTACTTGGGTTGTCAGTCCAGATTTAAAGAGGTCATCATGCGACGATGTCGTATTGGTCATACCAGATATACTCATGAATACCTGTTAAAAGGTGAGGATCCTCCGTTTTGTATCCCTTGTGGTGAAAGAATCACAGTCAAGCATGTCCTGCTTGACTGTGTTGAGTATTCCATCACAATATTTTAAATCACGAACTATGAAGGATCTTTTTAATAGTATCAGTTCTCATTTAATTATTGCATTTTTAAAAGAATTAGATTTGTTAACAGATTTGTAAATAGATAAATATTTTATTATTGGTAATTTAAATTAGTAACTGAGATTGTTAGTGGCTCTATCTTCAAAGGGGGTTGAAGTAGCGTAAAATTATTGTCCTCCTGAGAGGGTACATAAGTCCCAAAACATTTAGTCAATTTAAGTGTACCAGGTTTTTAATCGTAGTTTTTTTTGTGTTTTTACTGTATGGCTAAATCTCAGTATAACTGCCAGTGGCTGAAGGGATGGTGTAAATCCAGCTAGGGTCCATGCAGGTAGCAAAGGCACTGTAAGTCCCTAGTATGGTGATCTACCTTCAGTTGTTGGCGATTACTGGCCCATTTTTACATTGTATTGTCTAAAGATAGTTTTCTACTTTTAAAGTTATATGCTAGCTAGTTTTAACTCATTTTGTGATAATCTAGTGATTTTACTGTCCTTCGTTGACAGGGTTTTATATATTATCTGTATGTATTATCAATTTAGAACTAGTTTTAGTCACGATATGGCTGAAATATTGCCGATGTGACTTTAAATTTTAACTCACTCACTCACTTAACTGAGATGAAGTTTCCTATTACCTTATAAATACAATAAATGATTGTACTTATGCAGTGTTGTGCCCATGGTGGTAAAAACGACGCCTTTTCAGTGCTGCTGTATTCTCAAATCACCTACTATACAATATCACGTCATACTGTAGTTAGGTAACTTGTTCCATGGCATTGCTTCTAATGTTAAGTGCCTAGTGACTACATAGTGACTGCTAGTGAAACAATTTATTAATGAAACAATAGGCGAGAGCTTTCAATTCAACTGAAGGCCCATGACAGGTAATTAATGACAGATGGTCGGATTGGGGTGTGCTGATGGTTATAGCCCGGGAAAGCCACTTTTCAATAAGTCTGAGTTGAAAATGGTGTGGCTCAACCGTCCATGGATATGGTTGAGTGATCGTGTGAATAAGGCTCTCCAGGCAATGCGCTATTGGCTAATCCATGTTACCGTAAATAATGGAGATTTTTTAACATTGCCGTAAATTAGCCGAATTAAGTCAAAATAAGTTGAATTTTTTTGTCATGATACTTATAAACCTATACTCATTCATGTACAACCTCCACAACATGGAAAACCATGTATTTTGAGTAAAAGTAAATATTCTCGCCCATGGGCCAAACTGTTTTTCGCCCATGAACGAGATTTTTAATATCGCTCTAAATTAGCCAAATTAAGTCAAAATGAGTTGAATTTTGTGTCATGATGCTTATAAACATACACTCATTCATTTACAACCTTCAAAACATTGAAAACCATGTATTTTAAGTAAAAGTAAATATTCTCGCCCATGGACGAGATTTTTAATATCGCTCTAAATTAGCCGAATTAAGTCAAAATAAGTTGAATTTTGTGTCATGATGTTTATAAAGATACACTCATTCATTTACAACCTCCAAAACATGAATTCTGAGCGAAACTAAACATTCTCGCCCATGGGCCGACTTTGTGAGTCAAGAATTAAATTGCGACAACGCAATAGAGTACATGTGCATGTTGAGTGAGAATTAGTGCCATCACAAACACGTTCTCCTGTTTTCTTTTGACTTATGTTTGCCGATGATGTTTCTGTACTTTCTGATACTTGTAATCAGTTACAAAAGAAGATAAATGCACTTGAATGTTTTTGTAAACAAACTAGAATGTCAATTAATCTTAGTAAAACAAAAGTTCTTGTCTTTAGAAATGGTGGGCCATTACGGGAATATGAAAAGTGGTCCTATAATGGCAATCCTATTGAAACTGTATCCTTTTATAAATATCTAGGACTTGTATTTACACCAAAGCTTGTATGGAGTAAAGCGCAAAGCTGTCTGGTCTCTCAAGCTAACAAGGCGATATTTTCTGTAAACGGTTTTAAAAAAAAGATGGGAAGAGTAAATTGTAAAGACTTATTTAAGATTTTTGACTGTATGGTTTCACCTATTTTGTGTTATGGGTCTGAGATTTGGGGTACTAACTATTGTAGCATCATTGAGTCTGTTCAGGTGAAATTTCGTAAATATTTCTTGAAAGTTGGTAAATCTACCTGTAATAACATGGCTCTTGGTGATTGTGGCAGACGTCCTCTACAAATTACTTATATGACTAAAGTAATTAAATACTGGTGTCACCTATTGTATATGCTTTATGATAGACTGCCAAAACATTGTTATATTATGCTCAAGTCCTTAGATGATGTTGGCCGCACTATTTGGGCAACTTGTGTCAAAAATATTTAATTAAGTATGGTTTTGGCTATGCATGGATCAGTCAGGATGTTGGCAATGTTGATTATTTCATATCCTTGTTTAAGCAGAGTCTTTCGGATAATCTTAAACAATCCACTTCAATTCAAAATTTAATAAGTGTTTTTAATACTCCCAATTTAAGACATTTTTAAATGTGGAAAGGTATTTAAATTCTGATATTCCTTTACATCTCAGATCTGCACTCTCAAAATTTAGATGTGGAAATTTTAATTTAGCTGTTGCAACTGGAACATACAATAAAGTTAATTACAACGAGACACTATGTCTATTTTGTAAATTGGATGACAAAAATGTTATTGAAGATGAATTCCATGTACTTCTTAAGTGTGAACGTTTTTCTGATTTAAGGTTAAGATATATTCAGAAATATTTTACTGATTTTGATCCAAATGCCAATTTTATTAACATTATGAAAACACATAATGATTGTATCATAAGAGATGTCAGTATTTTTCTGTATCATGTTCTTCAGCGCATTAGAAATGTTCCTCTTACACAGCATGTGCACTAAACTATCTATATCATATGCAAATGACTGTATGATGGGCCTGTGGCCTTTTACTGAATAAACTTGTCTGTCTGTCTGTCTGTTTTCTTTTGACGCACTTGTCGTAGCAACACGGAGTACTTCCCATTGGTTCACACAATACCCGAAGCAGATATCGATCTGGTTAACAACCATCATCCATCCATCCATCCATCCATCCATCCATCCATCCATCCATCCATACATACATACATACATACATACATACATACATACATACATACATACATACATACATACATACATACATACATACATACATTTACGAAGGTATGTCTCGATTTCGTCTTCCTCTTCTGTTGATATCGATCTGGTTAACAGCATGCCTGCCATCATGTGTCGTTATACACTTGGACATGATGTGAATGCAACTTCAGAGCTGAAGAATACATCATTATGCATTGCGACCGCCTCCGTGGTGTAGTGGTTAGAGCGTCCGCCAGGAGAGCGGAAGGTCGCGGGTTCGATCACTGGCCGCGTCATACCAAAAGACGTTAAAATATGGTACTGTTTGGTTCCTGCCTGGCGCTCGGCATTAATGGATACAACAAGTCAGTATACTGTGTCTGAGTGGGGTATTCATGCTTCACTGCGGCATGGTATTGCAGTGGGCTAGCACTATAAAACCAGCTTAAGTCTGGGCTAGTACAAGCAGCCGCACATACACATACACACGCATGCACGTCGTCATATGAGCGAAATACTCTCAAGCACGACGTAAAACCCAATTTCACCTCACCTCACCTCATTATGCATTGCCTGTAAAGTTTCATTTTATTGATTTTGTATCGTACACTCAAAATCCTCGTTTCTCATTGAGGCAGACTGGAACAAGCTCGGCATGATATATTATTTCATTTGAATGAAATGACATGATCGCAAAATACATCTTTACAAAACGAGAAGGTCACGTTAGGTCACAACATGTCACCGTGACCCAGTGGCGTAAATGGGCGTTCATGACATCAATCTCTGAAATGACTGGTCTATTCTTTCTATCATTTACAGACCCCCACCATATTTCGAGAATACTGTAGGGTTTGTTGTCGAACAACATACAACACAAGAATATGAAATCCAGAAAATTCTTTATGTTCATCAAATAGCATTACACAAATACAACACAGACCGATTGGGCATAGGGCAAACCGTACACATTTACTGGAACCGTCTCAGGCCCACTCTCCTTTGTTTTTCAACTCCAAGAGGTAATTCAAAAAGATCTGTGCTTTAAGAAAATTGACCCCCGGACCAAAATGAGTTCCATCCAGACTTCGAATACCTCGAGTCAAGTTGAATGTATCGAACATCGGAACGTTATACTTCCCTACAAACCTCTCCATGTATCGGTTGTAGACTTGAGCATTTTCATTAGTTACTCCCCGAACAAGCTCTGTTCGCCAGAGTCCGAAACCACTAAACCCAGACCAAAGTAATTTGGGCCATTTCCGTGTGGTGTTGCTTTTCACAGAATCTATGATCGCTCTTGCATAATTGGAGTTATCCGTTTTGTTGAACATCCGCCATAGACCACTCCCAAACAAAACCAAAGATTTGGGCGTATCCAGTATGTTTTGCAACTCGTTTGTCATGGCTTTACCTCCCATATCAAGCCGACCACAAAACAAGAATTTCGCTTTCACTGTTCCGTTGCAGAGTCTTGGGGAATAGTCCAGGTTAGGACGACATTTCTGAAAAGGAAACACGTTTTTCCCTTCACACTCTTGTTTCATCTCTGAAAAGTAAAAAAAACCATAAACATAATTTGCAGTCACTATAATCTTTGAATGACGTGCAAATGGACTGGCAATTTAGTGTTCTGTATTTTTGTTTGTCTCATTATTTCAAGGCATGAAAGTGTTTTCTGAACATGGGAAATGGAAATATTGTACGTGTATGCATTATACTTTAAAAAATGATATTGAGATCCTGTGTGTCCGATGATCGATTTAATGTTAAGAAATGAAGAGACTTTAGTTTTGTGAGTAGATGCGATACATCAATTAAAGCATCATCCTAACCCCTGCTCATTAACCAACACTCGTCGACCCCGACCCCCCGCTTCAGAGACCAGAGAGTTTGAAACCCAAGTTTCTTTCCTTTCAAAACAAAACTGGATAGATTGTTTTTAAATTATAAATCCTGAAACAGCGAAAAACATAGTTCTTCCAACTGAGAAGACTTCAATTAACATAACCGTTCTATGTAAGAATCAATACATTAATTGTTTTGATCAAAGAACTGGGCCTCAGTGCCACATCAAATAACTCCACGTTGAGACAAGTACGTTAAAAGGGAAAGAAAGTTTCCAATTTCACTTATCAGTTCTCTGAACCTTTGCCTCGACTCCTGAAGCTCCATAACATTCTGTACACAGAAATGTATTTGCTGAATTCAGCAGCTGCACCAAAAAGTCCCTGTCTCAAATATTAACTAGAATCCTTACTACAACCAATGATAACTTTTATTTAAATTCACAAAAAAATATTCAAGACAAGTTGCAGTGCTCCCATGAGCATTCTAAAATATCGAACTATTTGCTTTATATGTGTAAAATCTCAGAAAAGAACAAAGTTCAATCCTGTCAAAACATTTTATTTTATTTATTTATTTATTTTCTTCTCTGTACGCCACTGTCCCACATGACAAACTTAAGGGAAATCTTAACCTTCCATGATCCATGGGGCAATTGGTAATATTGACCATAGATACAATGGCGGGAGCAGGACAGTTGCCACCCGGACAATTGCTACCCAGACAATTGACACCGGACAATTACCACCGGGATAACTGCCACCTAGGACAACTGCCATCTAGGATAATTGCTACCCAGGACAATTGCCACCCAGTTATTTTTACTATAAAAGTGAGGACAATTGCCACCCCGAATTTTATGTAATTTTATTTGAGAAAATGAATGCAGGTTGTCAATAAACACCACTCTAGATGATGAAAAGTCAATGTTTTGGGGTATCTTGACTTTGATGCAATCTTAGCTTTCATGAAAACTCAATACGCATTGATTGGGAAAAACTCAAAACTCAAAATAATTGAGAGAATGTATTGAAAGCTCTGACACTTAAGATTAAAGTGCTGAGAAGCTCAAGTATTTAGAAAATCAATTTGTTTGAGCTTGGGTGCTACTGTCTTAAACGAACACATGTTGAGATGAATGTTTCAACAAACAAGTCGTGTGATGAGCAGCGAAAACGGGATAAAGCTACACGGAATGTCCTTACAGTTATTTTTTATAAATAATATTCTTCGCATAGTTCAGATTTCCAATGTTTATACAGACATTTAGAGGATAGATAGAGAGATTCAAGCCATTTTTTTGGATAGATGTCCTTCATTCTTTGGGTCAGTGACATAATAAAAGTGTAAAAGTAAAATAGAATGTGTGAGGACTTTCTGCGCAGTGTTGCCCACAACATCCGGATGTAATGAGCTCACTTTAAGAAATGTGTAATTGAAAAATGTAATTGGGCATGTTTTTGTGCAAGATTTGTCAAGTTGGTTATATGGAAGAATATGTTGTCATTTGTTATGATTTACCATGTCAAACTCAATAAAAGTTGGTAAAGAAACTGAGTTATGTTTTTATGTTTTGGGTGGCAATTGTCTTGGTGGCAATTGTCCTAGGTGGCAATTATCCGGGTGGCAATTGTCCTAGACCCACAATGGCATACCTATCCTCAGAGGTTCAGGAAAAGTTGTCAAAGAATGAAACAAATACCATGAGAATATCTCTGGACTCTCCTTGGTATTAGCATCTATGCAGTATCTGAAAGACATTTCGAAAAGAAGCAGTCATCCCTAAGGGGAACAGTTGTGCTTCCCTTCTTGCTCATATGTTTCTTTATGCATGGAGTCGGGATTTCTATCCATAGTGGCAAATGGGAAAAGGGCAATTTGGCAAAGAAATTTAAATTAAACTGCAGCTACGTCCATGATCTAATATCGTTCAATAACAATGGAATAACCAATTCCCTGATTTAGCCGCCTCAACTTGAAACAAATGAGAACAGTGAGACTACTTCGTCTGTTTCATATTAAGATCTATGCATAAAAATTCATAATACATACTGATAGTTGCACTAGGCGCCAGTCCGCCATGTCGATAGTCTCCCTTGACGATAATGATGAAGGCCAAGAACATCTGCCGGACGAGAGAGTCGCCATAGAAGTGGAAAGTTCCTCCCTTCAGAAGTTCACACGCAGACTTGGACGTGAAGTTTATCACTTCGCATCTGGAATAATTTACAAAATATTTATGAATAAAATATACACATAGAACTTAGTTAAGCACCACCTGAAATATCTCACGATTCAACGAGGTCCAATCTGAACCCTTTGGCGCATATCTGGGACGTAATTGGTCGTCGTGTCCAACAAAGAGATTCCCCTGTACAGAACCTGGTCCAATTGGAAGCTGCTTTACACGAGAAATGGCGTAGACTGTCCCGCCAGAGGATCAGGAGGCTGACAGTGGGTATGAGGATGAGAGTGCTGACCCTAATACAGTCACATGAAAGGTTACATTCGGTATTAACCTTGATTCGCGTAAGACACGCAACATGACATTTTGAATGTTCACATTCACCAATAAATCAACATTAAACATTCCAGGGCAAAGCCGATGTCCTGACGTTTTGAATAACATTAATATTGACGGAAATTAACTCATTTCCATATCATTTGGTTCTATTTACATGTATGCCAAGTTTGGAAATATTATAGAAATGCACTCATTTACATCAGTGTCCATACCCGTCCATTATCCTGGCAAGAGCATTAACCTGTGCAAAAATTCAAATAAAAAACAGACAAAAAATGCATTAAAACTGTCAGGCGTTTGTCATGTCACGTGTCTTTTAACCATATAACAATATAATATTATAAAGTCAGCTGAGATAGCACACGTGACAACTATTTCCATGAGGTCCACGCTTAAAACACTGATATAGCTAGGCTACACAATATCATTTAACAGGGGTCAAATGTAACATGTGCTATATTTGAGATTACACTTTCTCGGTAAAGTACAGATACTAGGACTTTTGGGGTTGAGTCCCATCAGTCGGTCAACTAGTAATCTAGACCACGGACTTTGTTTATCCCCGGCCCCGGGACTGGGCAGCTGTCTAACTTGGCAGAATTTCTGCAACCTAAGCAATGGGACAACATAGATATAACATATTAAAACGTACATTGACTTCGTTTTGTACCACTGGCAGATTAAGTTATATTTTCATTTTTATCATGATAATGAAGATGAAAATATTAATGGGATAAAAGGATGACTACATTGATATAGTGGACACCTTAATCTTCAACAAGCACAATAATACATTCTCCATACAGTCAATTAAGATGCAAACAAACATCTCTCTCTCTCTCTCTCTCTCTCTCTCTCTCTCTCTCTCTCTCTCTCTCTCTCTCTCTCTCTCTCTCTCTCTCTCTCTCTCTCTCTCTCTCTCTCTCTCTCTCTCTCTCTCTCTCTCTCTCTCTCTCTCTCTCTCTCTCTCTCTCTCTCTCTCACCGTTTATCGTCAGGAATCCACTTTGAATACTCAGCATGTTTTTGAGTTCTAAGGTCATAACATCCATCACAGACACATTCGCTTGTTGTTTTCTTTTGACACATGTTGTCATAGCAACACGGAGTACTTCCTCTTGGTTCACACAACACCCGAAACCATCCTCCTTCTTTACGTTTGACCTTCCAACCAAAGTAGGATATATTTCCACATTTTTTATCCGGCCTCTCAAATGTACCCTTTGGCCCCAAAACGTATAATGCTTCACGCAAGTATGTTTCGATTTCGTCTTCATCTTCTGCAGATATTGATCTGGTTAACTCACATGCCTGCCATCATGTGTCGTAATACACTTGGACATGATGGGGATGGAACTTCAGACCGGAAGGATACATCAGTATGCGTTGGCAGTTGAAGCACAGTATATATCACCACAGCCGTGCAATACAGGCAAAAGAGAGAACAACAGTCTTCTGTATTGCCCCATGAATGTCTTTAAAGAAAAAGAAACGGGAAAGCAATTAGACATAAAACAGACACATTTGTGGACAGAGGAAATGATTTGAATTTAATGCTGCATTGACATCTCGATTGAGAGTTTTGATCACGACAATTCACTCGGATATACATTACCTGAACTCTGTAAGAACAATAACATGCATATTGCGTACAGCAGAACTGGAGCAGACAAAGATATTGGTGGGGTAAAATCTAAAGGGGTCAGTTTACTGCATTACTCAATTGCAAGCGCAAATGTCTAACGAGGGTATCCTCCCATTACGCAGACAGGCAGTTCGCAGACGCCTTAAAACAACATTTACGGCTTAATGAACAGAATATCTACTGCCTGTTACCTACACATCATAATGGATTATTCCAAATAAAACCACAAGAAAAAACTGAAGCTATATTATTTAATTTGATAGATCATCATCATCATATTTAAATGTTCATAACATTTTGGGTTTAACCTTCTCGTCTAACGGAAGTTGGCATCCATGGGATATATGTTTGATTGAACAAGCCAATGGATTAGAAAACTCCATCTTGAAGCAGCTCTCATAACGTTTGTGCACAATGTGTAATCTAATGGAAGTCGAAGACGAGTTCCACTTCACGCTCGTATGCCCAAAATATGCTGAACTAAGAACTATCTTTTTTTTAAATTATTACACCACTAGACCAACGTACTATAAATTCCTTTTATTAATGCAAAGCAAACATGTTAACGAAATAAAATGCTAGCAAAATATTGTTTTCAAGCTTTTAAACCCCGTCAATAATTCCTTTCTGTTTGTCAGTACATCCTCGCCAAGCCTCCTGTACTTAATTTCATTATGTATATGTAAATGGCCAGGGGCCAACATGGCCTGTGCTAATAAAAGTATCCGTCTGTCTGTCTGTCTGTCCCTCATAGTAGTTACTGGTCCTCCATGATCTGCATCTTCCAGTTTGTTGTATTAAGAAGAAGAAGAAAATGGGCTTAACGTTATTATGGCATGGGATGGGATGATGAGAAAGAATAAGATGCAAATTAACATCATTTCATAAAAATTCAAAAAGGTCTTGCACCAGTTTTTCATCAGGATTTACTCCCGCCTGTAGTAGGCAACCGGACAAGCTATGAGTTAAGAAACTTCGATAAGTTTAGCTAACCACGTACAAGACTGAGGTACACAACAGCAGTTATTCCACCAACAGTTAAAATGTAGAATGATATTCCTTAAGATATCAATTGCAACTCTGTTGCATCATTTAAATCTTATATCGACGTGAAAGACAAATGTGCACCTAAATATTATTCTTATGGAATAAGGAAGTCACATGTTTTGCACACAAGATTAAGATGTATGACGAGTACATTTAATTATGATTTAATTAGAATACATATTTAAAAATAGATAATAAATAATAAATGTAAAAAATCATGTCAGTGTTGCTATAGATGTGAGAATGTATTGCATTACTTCCTTGAATGTCCATTGTATACAATTCAAACACATAAACTGTTAAAATCTAAAGAAAATATAGCTAGTAAATAGAACACTGATTGGTATTAATCTTATTTTATATGGAAACACATTTTTGAGAAGAAAACACAGATTATCATTTAATCACCACAAAGTTTACACACTTTTTACACACAATCAAACGGGGACGGACAATATCCCACCCAGACAAAATTTCTTTGGACAAAATCCCACACCAAAATCACCAACATAGGACAAAATCCCATTTTTAATTTAATCATGTTTCCTTGACAGAGGCCAGTGAGCTAAGTTTAGTAGCATGTTTTGATAATCATGACTTCAGGAATGAGTTAAATGGGAGTTATTATGAGTTGAATGATGTTTTAAGTGCTTATGTACATATGGTCAATAATTCTCATTTATGAGGAAAATTCAGATTGTGTTGTTTTATATCATGAGAGTTGAATGGGAGTTATGATGACTTGAATCATGTTTTTACGGCTTATGTGCGTATGGTCAATAATGCTTAGATACTTTTATTTTTCCTCATAAATATTTCAAAATAAAGTGTATGGCATTTTCACACTGTTGGGATTTTGTACGAAGTGTGCAATCATTTTGTCCTATGGGATTTTGTCCTACGGGATTATGTCCTGTTGGAAGTTTGACCTACCCTCCAAAATTCTCAGTAACGAACCCCTTTCAGGCTCACTCTACTCTAGGCAGTGGACTGTTCCATTATACCCGTAGGTGTTTCCCGAATTATCGTTCTAGTGCAGTGTCTGTCAATCGACTGCCTGTCAGTTGGCAGATAACCCCAGACACATGAAAAACTTAAGGGGACGACTGTAATAAGCGAGTTAAGTTTTACGTTAGACAGGGATGTCCACTCAGTCACTTGTTGTTCTCCATATTTATTAAAGTGTGGACCAGGCCTCTCACTAATTAGGGGTGACCAGCACGGCCCAATAGTTGTTGTTATTGTTTTTCAGCAACGGGGTAGTACACTTTATAAGAAATGAAGGGAAACAAAGAAATAGAAATTTAGGAAGAGTGGGGTTGTACTACCCAGAAAACAACAACAACAATACATCCCTTCCCCCCATCCCTCCCCACCCCACCAAAACAAAACAAAACAACTGAGTATTAAGGGAAATTTGAACGGGTGGGCGAATTAAAAAGGTTAGAAAGTATAAAATAGGTAAAGAGTAGTAGAGATTTGAAATTTAATATAGATGTAGTGTAGTAAATGGTTATTGTTATTGTATTTTTTTAAACAACCCATGTTTAAAAACATATTTATTAAGTGAATAATGACAAACATATAATAGGTTAAAAAATGAAGTTGATAAAAAGAGAGAACTCTTTTGAAAAGTTAAAAGAACATATATGTTTAAAAACATATTTATTATGTGAATAATGATAAACATATAAAAGGTTAAAACATGAAGTTGATAAAAAGAGAGAACTCTTTTGAAAGTCAGAAGAGTTAGCATTGTTGAGGAACTGTTTTAAAGCATTGGTAATTTGGGTTCTTTGTTTATTATATTTTGAGCAGTAAAAGATAGTGTGGGCTGTTGTTTCAGGAATTTGGCAAGTGATACATTTGCCGTATGGATGAAGGTTGACTTTGTGAAGATAGTCATTAAGATTGCAATTTGCTAGTCTTAGTCTGGTTATGGCAACATTAATTCGGCGTGTTTAGTGATAATTTTTACATTTTGTATTTAGTGTTTGTTGAATTTGGGAGCGTGGATAATGTTTTCCTATTATTTGCCAGTTATAATTGAATTTATTTATTATTATATTGTTAACTATATTTGTTAGGTCTGTTTTGGCGTTAGGTATTTTTATCTTGTTTTTTTGTGTGGAGTCCAGCTTTGTCTGCCATTTCGTTGCCATGGACTCCGATGTGTGACGGCACCCAGGTAATATGTATTTGATTATTTTTATTTTGATGATATAGTATTCTTCTATGTATGTTATTTATTAGATTTGGCCTTTTTGTTGTAGAGTAAATTTTGATCTGTATGGGGCTTAAGGAATCCTTACAAATGCAGATGTAGTGTTTGGTCAGATGTTGTTTGCAAGGCCTGAACTATGGCTGCGAGTTCTGCTGTGAAGATTCTGGAGTTTGCTTGGAGATTATAGGATTGTTTAAGGCTTTTTGGGGTATGTGATTACCATGTTGGTCCTTGGATCCGTCAGTATAGATATGAAGATTATCTTGTAGATTGTAATTTTGTTGTATGAATTCTTGCACTGTGAATTTATTAAGTATATTGTGTTTAGTAAGTTTTGTGTTGGCCAGGATTTTTGGCAGTAATCCTGGAGAAAGAGATTTGTAATATGGGTTTGTGTTACATTCTGTAGTATATAAATTAAGTTGTTGTTTAATATCCTGTATTTTTTGTCCAAAAGGTTTTGGGTATTTGCCTTTATTGATAATGATTTTAGTTTTAGTTTTAAGAGATGTATAGTGGTTTTCAGTTTTGTTTGTAATGGGGTTATTTAAGGATCTTTCCCATTCGAGAGTGAGGACTAGTTCCCGCATTCTACCAATACTGCTTGAGGGATGTTCCGGGAAGGCTCCATTATACATTTAAGAACTTGGAATTGGATGGAACTGAGTTTTTTTTATGTGTTTGTGCCATATCTTGAAATATTTCGCCGCCATAGATTATTTACAGACCGCCGCCATATAGCTGTCATGTTGCAGAGTGCGGCGTAAAACTAAACTCACTCACTCACTCATAGTTTGATTATTTGCTATATTTATTTTTATGGTTATGTTTTCTATTTCTTTTGAGTTGATATCGATTTGTTGGAAGTCGATGCCTCGTTTAATTAAAGTGATGAGTCCACCCTTTTTGGGTCCTTTGATGTTTGTGGATTTATCTTTTCTGGTGATATTGTAGTGTGGAAAATGTATAGATTTTCTTGTGGATATTCTGGTTTCTTGGAGAAGAATTATATCAGGTGAAATTATGTTTTTCGTTAGCAGAGCTTTGAGTTAATTTTGACGGGCGTTTAGCCCGTTGCAGTTACACTGTAATACGACATGATAAAATATATAAATAAAACATAAATGGAAGCAAAAATTTAAAGAGTGATGATGTATATGTATAACATATACG